TTTTTTATTTAATAGCAATATCAATGTTTCGTAAAGTTGTTCAAACAAAATTCATCTTAAATCGAAGTAAGATTTGGAATATATATATATATAAATGTATTTCACGATGACAACATTTCTGGATATCTGGAAAAGCTCGTAGGATATAGTATAAGTCTACTATCGAAGAAAGTAATATATTTGGTTAAACCCCAAGGTATTATATGAATAGCAACTGTTATAGTGTTCGAGGATAAATTGAATGAAAGGAAGAATTCATTGGTATGTGTTTTTGGCTAGGACAAGGATTTAATATATATAAATATAAACGTGTGTATATATACGTAATGCATGTTTGAATGCATATATTATGTATGCACACATAGAGACATAACAAATATTATTTCCATATCGAAATGACAACAATACTAGTTTTCTTCGTTTGGCATACTATAAGAGACCTACTATTATTCATTCTTGTTGTTTAGCATAATAACGGTAGTGAAAAGGTTTGTCAAATGAGACAGTACTGTTATAACTGTAAATTTGAAACGTCATCATCATCATCTTTTACAATGGCTACCAAATTTCACGTACGCGTATGTAAATCTACCCCTTAAAACGTATAACGTGTTACATCATAACTACGTTGAAATTCGATCGATACAAATGGTGATTGATGTTAACGTTATTTTCCTAAATGCTATTGTTAGTAGTAATCCATTTTTGTGTTGTTTTTGAATAAATGTTTGTTAACTGACGATCAACACAATACGTTTTATTGAATCTAACAAATATGATAAATTATACGCGTACACGTTCATAATAAAAAGAAATAAAATTAATCGACCTGTTGAAAAATCGAATCGAACGATGACAATTGAAATCGTACAAATGTTATCAATTTCTGACCGAATTTAAAACATTACGGATTTTTATTATCGTTACGATTATGTTAGAAAACGGATGAGCATCAATTTTTAATATGATTCAGGAATATAAACGCGTAGAATTTTAAAATTGTAATAAATTTTTCTATCATCTTGACCGAATTCAAATCCTCATGGTGGTTGGTATTTTCGTATCGACTGTTTTTCAAATTGAAAATGTTATCTCAACGCGATAAGCGTTTCTCTTCGTTTTTTTTTTTCTTGTCCCGTCTTAATGCTTTTGAAAAAAAAAAAAAAAACAAAACAAAAAAAAAAGAAACAATTTTTAAAGCTATTTCAATTAACGTTTAACTTTGTATTTTCCAATAATGCGAATGTTAAAACGAGTTTAACTTAAGGAACACTTTAAAGCCGACCCGTTATGCACCGTTATCGACTTCCTAGTGTGCAATTGCCATAATACGCATAGTGTGTGTGTTGCTTGCGCAAAATGTAATTATTTGAAGATTAACTTTGACGATAAGTCACGTTAGGAAGTACGGTGGTAACGAACGGAATCGTGTTTCCACGTTGTAGCAGAATTTTTTCGAATGGATTGACGATCACAAATTATTCTTCGATTTCTTTTTTTTATTTCCCTTTATTTAACTTCAAATAATCGACGATAATAAAAAAACTATAATAATCGTATAAACTCTCGGAATTGTAATAATTAATAAATTATATTTATCGTTAGAGAGTTAATATACGGAATTAAACGAGATTAGATATATTTATTTAAGAGATTAATTTAATCGTAGATTACTGTCTGATCATTGTTAATTTATTATTCATCCAATTAAATTGATTATATCCATTTGTACATTGCGAACAAAAACTCATAAAACAGTGTTCGTGATAGATTTTATTTATAGGAAAACATTTTATATTTTTCTCAAACGAAGATGGTTAATCTTGGAAAATCTTCAAAAAATATCCAGAATTTTTTTAATGACAATATATCATCCTAATTTCATTAGAATGTACAAAAAATAATATAATATATAATAATATAAATTTATAAATGAAATATATATATATATATATTTTTTCTTTGATTATTTTTGTTACAGATTAACGATAAGAAAACACGAGTGGAACAACGGGAAACGATTTAAATATTGGTTACAATCGAATAACAAGGAAGAAAATAAATCAACGATGACGGATAATAATGATAACGATAATGATAATAATAATAATAATAATAATCATAAAATAATGGACAAAAATAATGGTAGAACAATCGGTGGGTCATCTCGACGAATTTCAATCGTCGAAATGGATGAACCATACTCGTTCAAATTATCAATTAGTTTGTCGTGCCTAATCGGTGTTAAAGAGACAAGTGATACGATATTATATTTTCCTCTTACGAACTGAGTGAACAATTAAAGAACAAACAGAAAATAACTGAAAAATATATACTCAATGAAATAATGTGAATAAGAGTTGGTGAATAATATGGCTTAAAAAAATTAGTATATTATATATATATATATTTTCATCATTTCCCATGGATCAATGTGATCGTTCGATCATTGGGAAGGATGTAGAATTCAAAGAGAAACAAAGAAAAGGATCATTCGCGAACAATAAAAATCTTATTGGTTATATCGACAAGGATAAAAAAAAAAAGAAATAAGATAATGGAATTGAACGGTACGATGGAAGAAGAAGAAGAAAATACCGTCAATATAACCGATTTACCGGGTCAATTGTCAAACATTTTAATTGACACCGGTCAATTAAACGAAAATGAAACTTACGACGTACTTGGTGAAAATACTAACGACCTCGAGCACGTGTTAATATTGACGGCTAAAGCAACAGTTATGGGTTTTATCATTATTTGTGCATTATTTGGTAATCTTCTCGTAATAGTATCGGTAATGAGGCACCGTAAATTACGCGTTATTACGAATTATTTCGTAGTATCGTTGGCTTTGGCAGACATGCTCGTGGCAATATTTGCCATGACATTTAACGCCTCCGTAGAATTGTCTGGCAAATGGTTGTTCGGTTATTTCATGTGCGACGTATGGAATTCACTCGACGTATTCTTCAGTACCGTTTCGATACTTCATCTTTGTTGCATCAGCGTGGATCGTTATTATGCAATAGTACAACCACTGGATTATCCACTGATCATGACAAATCTACGACTTGGTGCAATGCTAAGCGTAGTTTGGTGTTCGCCAACAGTCATGAGTTTTCTTCCTATATTTGCTGGCTGGTATACTACCAAGGAACATCTCGAATACAGACAAAATTATCCCGACGTGTGCGTGTTTCAAGTGAACAAATTGTACGCGGTTATAAGCTCTAGCGTAAGCTTTTGGGTACCTGGCATTATAATGATCGCGATGTATTACAAGATTTATCGTGAAGCTGATCGTCAAGAACGTATGTTATATAGGTGAGTCTCAGAATAATAATAATAATAATGTTAATATAATCAAGATTTTTTTTCTCTTATCCACAATTTTTTAATATTATTACTAAGTTTACTTCTTAGGGAAGTTATTTTTTGGACAGGTTTAATTTGTATTGTTCTTATAAATTAAACCTGTCCAAAAAATAACTTCCCTAAGAAGTAAACTTAGTAATAATAATAATAATAATAATATGTCAATCATTTTATATATTTTCATTCTTTATATTATATTTCTTTATATATATATCTCATTTATTTTCCATACCTATCCATTTACAATGAAATAATAATGCATCTTTCGTGTTGCCTCCTAAACGATAAATTTCTTATAAAATTCTATTTCAATGTTTTCACAAGGGATCATAGTAAAAGGGTAGTTTCCTTTCGTAAAACTTCATATTAACACGCACGATATATTCCTTGACGTTTTTCCTATTGTTCCCTTTTGCGATTTTCATTTCGTAGAATTTATATACAAGTATATATATGCATGTATGTATGTATATTCGTGCATATTGCTTCCGAAGGCGGAAACATTTAACCAATTTTTTTTTCATGACCTCATTTATAAATTGGGAAAGTGTAGGGTCAAAAATAACTTATGTTTTTAATCTGGTCAAATGTCTCTACATTTATATTATATTTTTTACTATATGTATGTAATATACGTGTGTGTGTTCGTTCGATAGTCAGTCACACGTATGAAAACTGTCCCAGAAAGTTTCAATGCATTTCCCTAATATCTTACTTCGCGAAATAACCCTTAAAATACGAGTCATATATGTAAGCCCTTCGTCCGTTTCCAATTAGAGTAAAAGGTGTGAACAAAGGGAACCCAATGCGTGAAAGAAAACAACAAACAAACCCTTTTTCTACTCGTTGAACTGGTTTTTCTCAACAGATGAATTCATAATTAATCGAATTTCGCGACTAGATGCGCATTCCCATTTTCCACATATTTCTGACAAGAATTTTGCATTAAGAATGATGTTCCTGTGACGTTTTGATTTGCCATTCGATTATTTCCAGTACATTCAGAGAGAAAATCAGGCCACGGTAGGATAAGATTTAATTTTATCCTTCTTTGTAAAGCCGTTTCTAGAAACTGGGTCATTTAATACTTCAGATCAAACATCGTAGGATTTATTATTATTATTTTTTGTTTTTTTTTGTTTGTTTAATCGAGCAAAGATACAACAGTTAGATACATAGTTTCTTTAATGTAAGTGTTTACTCGATTTTATGCATATATGGGTCATTCCATGTCAAATCGACAAATTGTTTACCTGACCCCCTTTGATTTCGCTGAAAATTGTCTATCTTTTTCTACCCCCCGAAAGTTATTTTTCAGAATTTTTTCAAATTTTTTTTCCCGACTCAAAAAAGGTTATGAATTTTTGAAAAAAACCGCTCTTTTATTTTTAAATTGCCAGAACTTTTTCCAAAATTAACCGTTTGGGAACTTTTTTTTTTTTCAAAATTTTTGTTTTTAAATGTAGTTTTCGAAAAACAATATGAATAAATTTTCAGAATCCCAGATATATGAAATATTTTAGTTTTTTTGAAGAACCCGTAATTTTCTCAAAGTCCGACCGTTTCTTTTTTTTTTTTTTTTTGCTCTAAAAATACTTCAACTAATTCTGCAATGATCCCCGTTAATTAAAAGATGTGACGACAATCGCTTCTAATTTTTGTTCTTGATTATAAAAAAATTGTTGTTGAATTTTKGCTGATTTTATATAACTTTGTTATGAAATTTTTTGTATTTCCTCGTGAAACCACAAAAATTGAAAAATAAAATTTTCACATTGTATCAACTGGAGGTAACTTTTAAACTCATTGTATTTTTGAAGTTGTCATATTTCAGTACCAAAAAAAACGTCCATAAGAGTAAAAAAATAACGTCAATGAGAGAAAAAAATAATTTTTTTAGAAAAAATAACAATTTCTTGGACGATAATCACTTGAAATTCTCCAATAAAATTTTATTTTTCAATTTTGAAAAAAAAAAGTTCCTAAACGGTCAATTTTTGAAAAAGTTCTGGCAATTTAAAAATAAAAGAGCGGTTTTTTTCAAAAATTCATAACTTTTTTTGAGTCGGGAAAAAAAATTTGAAAAAATTCTGAAAAATAACTTTCGGGGGGTAGAAAAAGATAGAAAATTTTCAGCGAAATCAAAGGGGGTCAGGTAAAAAATTTGTCGATTTGACATGGAATGACCCATATGCAACTTGATTAATCATGAATTTCTTGAAATTAGATCTAATGTATAATACTTTGAAATGTTTCATAAATATATATTTTTTTTTTCTTAAAAAAAGTATTTTTTCCTTTACCAAGTAATCGATCATTCCTTTGGAATTTATTTATGCAGATAAAAGAAGATTTCATTGAGGAAACATAAATCGATATGATGCATTATCACGACGCATGACAGACATGCATATTCTATACGAATGCATTATTCGAGATCTGTATATTAAATTACTTTTTCATAATTATGATGAATTGTTCAATGTAAGTGACAAATATATGACAGTTAACGAGATATATAATTATTAATATAATAACGTTAATAAAAAAAAAAGTAGACACGTTGATTATTTGAAAAGATAAATGAAAAAGTATTGGATTATAAAAACTCTGTAAATAATATATTAATCAAGTAGATTTTTCAAATTACATATTCGTCATCTATTACATGGTGTCTCTATATAATTGTATTTAATTCTACAAAAAAAAAAAAAGAAAAAAAGAATAAAAAGATTGTCATAGACGAGAGAACATTTATAACGCGATTAAATTTTATTCAACTTGCTAAACATTCCGAAAAAGCATGAAAAACTCTTATAATCTGTTCCACGTATCTTTCTATTATAATACGAATTACATTTATTTAAAAATGACACATCTATTAATATACTTTGAATAATAAACAAATTTTGGATTTGATATTTTATTAGAGATAATTAAATTTTCGATTGAAAATCATCACAGGGTGAGAAACGTTAAAACAAATGTATTTTAGTTTTAAACAATCGTAAATATTAATAGAGTATACGAGAGTATTCGAATTATCTTAATTAATTGTTAATTAATTTAATTAAATGTATATATTTTAATCGAGAATCACGGATTATAAGTTCTAACCACCGTTGTCTAAGAAATTGAATTTTCTTTATTTTAGCTTTTCTTACTTTTAGATTTAACTCTCACGTAAATCAATTTCACGTTATTTGATATTTTCTCATATCATCATAGGAACGAACGATCATGTTTCCATTAAAGTTCTCCAAGTATGACTTTACGTTGAGAAAATTGATAATATTTTTGTATTGCCTCAAAATCAACGAGAGAGGACTTTCATTTTTCACGAATTATTTTTCCAATGGAAATGAAAAATATTTTTCCAATCGAACTCTAACATTTTAAATATTATCAACGTTAATATTAGAGTACGTTCAATCTTTGAGTTTATAGAAAGGAAGTAAAAAAAAAGAAAAAACATTTATAAAAAGAATATTATTCGAGTATGATAAATAGTTCGTTTAAAAAAAAAAACCTAACGTGTACACGCCTAACTGTTTAGCATAAATATAATAAATATTTGATCATATATTTTATTATTCATCATTTTCAAACGTTCCTCTCTTTTTATTTCGAAAAAAAAACTATGATCATACAGATATTTTTTTTCGTATTCTCGAAACTCTTGTCGTATTCTGCTTATTCTTTCCTATATAAAATGATTGAGAATTTTGATCATACCCTACGGCCCTTAGAAACTCCTCGACCCTTTAGAACTTTAACCAAAAAACACCCCTTCAAGACTTGCTACCCAATTTTATAATCAAACTCGATATGAATATTTTTGTTGTCTTGAAGTATTATATTATTATATTTCATTTCATCGTGCAATATTGCACGACAGGCCAATAAAATTTTGCATAATTTATCAATTTAAAATATACATGGTGTCTGTGCTTTTTTTCTTCTATTATTTTCGTACAAACTTCTTCTTATTTCGTTTCGAGCGAAAGGTCAATCACTTTTTCTATGATGTTTATGCGATAATTGAAAAACAAAAAACAGTGGAATTGTTGAACAAACAGAACTGCATTACGCTAATTTCTCGCATGCATTTCATTATGCATTTCATTATGCACACGTATGTTTACTCGCATAGCAATATAACACTGTGATAAATACAATACTGTTAACGTTCTTTATATTTTTAAATACTATAAGATGCATTATTATGTTTATTATTATTATTATAATTAATAATG